ATTCCTTGTCCCCCTGCTAGAAGAAACCTGCTACAATAGCGCACTTCTTGCTGTTTTTTTTAGGGAATGTGTTTGATAAATGAAAGAAAAATACAACCACTTCCACAGCCATTTAGGGTTTTTTCTACACTCACTAAGAGTAACCCTAGTTTGAGGTGTGTTAACTGCATTAGTTAAAGTGCAGAGGAATTTGAAAACAGGGGTTAAACTTTAACTCTGAAGGAGTAACTCTGGGTGAACAAGAGCACATGACTCCCTGCTCCTTCCTCATTATCCCCACTGCCCTTTGGCCCAGAGGCGAGAGGAAAAAATCATCCTCTCCTCTCTACCCCCCTCTCTCTGCCTTCTCACAACACTTGCTCCATCCTTGGGCCTTTGACCTCGAGCGAATGACGGAGCAATTTAAAATACACAGGGCAGTGGAACCTGCAAAAGAAAAACATCTGCTGGGGTGTCTACAGAGCAACACACGGTGTCCAATCAATATTTGTCCTCCTCCCCACCCAGGACCTGCTGGAGATGGTGGGAAACTTCCCATTTGGTGTAGCTTTGTTTTGTCATTCAAATAAGCTATCTTGTGTTCACTGTGAGCAAGATATCAAACCATTGTTTGTAGATAGTCAATAGAACTGTTTACTGTAACGGCAGTGGAGCTTTTTTTCCCCATGTGTCCGTCGTAAAGATAAGATATATTATTGAATGTAACCAAGTGGAAGAATAAGCCTCCGATTCAACCCCTTGAACTCTGACGTAAACAATATTCCTGTTTTATTGTTCAATAGAAAGTGACATAGTTTCCACTCTTGTGTTTTACAGTTTTGAGCCTGTTTTTTTCAGATGAAGATGTATCTAACTTTAAAAATAGTTCTTCATTTCGGTATATACACTTCTTCACTTTGTAGCCGAGAGTTAGATAAACCATTAATTCCCACTGACTGGGTCGTGACCCAAATGTGGGTGGCAGGAGATTATTTGGGTCATAAATAAATTTGCTGAATTTCCTTCTCATGCTTTCTTATTTATAACATATTTAAAATGCGTGCACATATTTTGTCTCATGAAGTGAGTGCACATTGTGAAAAAAACAAGAACCTGTTAACCTCTTAACCTTTTAATTTGTTTCATTTATAAAGTATTTAAAATATGCATTGTTTTACTGATGAGAGGAAAACAATGAGACAGCCTGTTACAGTTACTCCTATTATATGCATTCATTAGGTCTTATTTATAAAGTGTTTTCAATAACACATTCATGAAACAAAGTTGTGATTTATCAAACATATATCTCTTCAAAATGGCTGATTTACTTGTTCAAGAAAATATGACATGATGCAGAAATAGCAGTAAAAATTGTCAGGAACATATATTTATGCACAAATTTGCTCTTCTCACTGTGAATTTGGTTGCCACAGTTTGTATTGTCTTAAACCACCTAGCCATGGGATAACTTTTAACACTTTTAAAGCAGCAGATCAACATTGATAACACCGTTGTTAGCAAATAGTTGTGAAAATTTCAAACCACCTACACCAGTCTCCTGCTTGTAATCCATCTACCCTGACTTCATGAAGAAGCAGTTGTCTGACGTCTTTTCTTCCAATATGGGATGGGGTAAGAATATTTATATTTGGCTAATAATTTATATTATATTAATTGAATATTTAGATACATTTCCAAGTATAGAAGTGCCATAAAATAGAACTTGCATCTGTTACCTCATGCATTGCTTTTGCTCCTCAGTTTTATTTATATATGCAAAGAGGCTGCACTGCTGAGAGTTGAATTGTATTTACACTTGCCAAGGAAACATCAGTTTGCCACGGTCAGCCACGTTTTTTGTTAACGTTTGGCGTTGTGCACCTGGAACGCTTGAAGGTCTTAAGTCTGAAATTCAGACTTCCGACTTTTGACTGGATGGATGTAAGTAATATTCAGTCTCCTGTTAGTTTTGGTTTGGCTGCTTCAATCTCTTTATGGAGGGGTTTCTGGCTCTTTAAATTCTCAACTCTGTTCACTAGTTAGTCTTAAACTTTGAACCTGATGTTCGGTGCTAAGATGGCAGTGTGCAGTTAGTTTATCAGTGGTTTAGCTGGGAGCAAGGCACGATACGAGAGAACTAAAAACAGCCAGCTTGTTTGCATAAAACCTCAACAAAGAGGGGGGAACTATGGCGGCTAGGAAATGCAAAAAAAAGAGATAATCAACAGAGCTGAAGGGAACTGCAGTTACAACTGGGTGATAATTCTCTGCAGCTTTGTCAGGTCAAGTGACACCTTTCACATTAACATAGTCAATTATTAATCCAAAACTAGAGCAGCATTTGTTTTCACTACTGTTGTAGTTGACTCTTACAGTAAGTAATGACTGACTCACCAGGCAGCACATCCTTGTTTACTGGCCCTGAAAGACTGCTGTTGCAAATACTGACCTTCTGTCAACTGTGATGCTATTGTTCCAACATAACATGGTACCATATCAGTTTTAAATATCCAAATGTTCAAATTTGGCTGCACTTCACGTACACCAAGCAAATCATTATGACTAGTCATTTTCTTTGATTTTTACGGAATGCTGAAACGGTTGTAATTGCTTTTGTGCTTTGTTTTCTTGTCATAATGGAAAGTAATTACACCCATCAAATTTATATTGATAGTTTGAACTGCAATTGTTCAGACAATATGAGTTTTTAACGATCTTTAGGGTTGAAAAGGCTGATTTGTATCAAATAGCATTACTTAAAAACCTATTTAGTTAAACGTTTTGCTTCAGATGTAAAGTTATTACCATTGACAGGCTGTCAATATGTTGTCAGTGGACAGACCATTTTAAAGATGAACTTGCTTTTAACTATCTGAGAAGTCTAACATTTTCAGACAGGGCATTAACCTAACCCTCTCTGCAGCCACAACATATTTGATTGTGTTCCCAATCACCAAGTTCAATCTTTTGCAAATCTTTCTCCAATCTGTTGCTCCCTGAATTTGCCCTGCTCTGGCCAGACTTTGCCTATAGGTTAACTAAGGTGCTTAGGATGACAGAAAATTAACCTAATCAGCTCAGTGAAGACGACTCAAATGCTTTAACGGGATTAGGAGAAGGCCACTCCCTTTGCCATGTTTCCCCTTTAAACACCTTACACCACATTGCTGTAATCTACGGCTAACAAGCTGACGAGCTAACTGACCTCTTCAGCTCATCTTCTCTGTTGTTAGTCTGGACACTGATCTGTGTTGTGTTCAGCTCACACTAAAGAACATCCAGACTTCCATACAAGGGTGACTTGGTAAGATACATCTGTAGAAAAACATAAACATAACAAAAATAACACAAGGAAGAGCGATGTTTTTACATGTTTTAGTTTATTTACTACAACTCACATTAGGTTTTCAATTAGATATACATTTTTATCCACCCCATTTAAATCAATGAGTGCAGGTTAAAGTTCCAGTGTGTAACATTTAGGAGGATCTACTAGCTGAAATAGAAAATAATATTAACAAATATGTTATATAAATAAAGAGATAAAGATAAAATAAGAATTGCTTGGTTTTTGTGTTATGGCTCCAGATAATGTCCTTTAGGGTTTGCTTGTTTTTTTGCATTTCCTGGCCACCATAGTTTCACCTTGGAAGGGGAGGGCGAAGTGAGGGAGTTGCAATCTGTATATATACCGTTAGATGCCACTAAATTCTCCATGCTGGAGTTTTAAATAATCAATCGACACCTCTCAAAAACTGTTTCAACAAAAACTTAACATTAAAAACTAGGATTTGTTTCTGTTTTGTTTCATCAGTCTGCATTAGTTTCAACTGTGTACCCAATAAACCGACAACTGAGTGTATTTGATAGTTATTTCATCACAGTGAACACCTTGCCTGCTTTAAAGGGCCAGTGTGTAGGATTTAGTGGCATCTAATAGTGTGGTTGCACAGTGAAACTCCCTCACTTCACCCTTCACTTCCAAACACAATTTATTTTAGCATCTTCCATCAAAAATAATCTATTTAAGTTTATTTAATAACTTCTTTCTTACATCAACAGCAGCTTCGGAACACAACTTATTGCTTGATGCTTATTCATTGATTCAAACAACTTTTTTAACCTATAGACAAGCAGGCGTTCAGTCCTTTAATAGGAACTTAAGCATTAAAGTCCACGTAATTGAACTCAGTTTCACAGGCAACAAAGTTTCACTCTTTATCTGGTGGTTGTGATTGCGAGAAGGCTTGTTGGCCTGAGCTGTTTGCCGTTATTTTCTGAGTGGGTGAGAGCACAAAGCGGATGTGATTGGCCGTTTGATTGAGGTCAAATCTCTTTCGTGCTTCTCCCTGCCAACAGTACCACATCCTCCTGATGGAGGGTGGTGTCCGAAAGCTCAGGAGAAAGGTGTCAGGTCAGCATGGCAACGTCCCGGAGCACAGAGCAGAGAATAGAGAGATAGACAGAGGAGGAGGAGATAAGAGGGGATATGAAGTGGTTGTGACAGGTGAGCTAATGGCTTTGAGAAGGAAAGGGAGGGCGCAGGCTGTGATCTCTTTATATGGCTTACAGAGGGACAACATATTAAAATGAAGAACGGATGCAGAGAGTAAATGAGTTGACCTAAAACCCCTAGGTCACCGCCCCCCTTCCTGTGGATGTGTGCGTGTGATTGCGTCCACCCCCACACTGACTGACAGCCTCTGTCGTCTAATAATGGTTTGAGTATTTTTCCCAGGCACTGAAAAACTCCCCTATCCACAGGCCTGAATGCTGGCTGCTACATGTGGGGGTATAAATGTGTCCAGAAATGTGGAGCTTAAATGTTACCAGATGATAGCGTTACAGCCTCTCTAACGTCCAAAAAAAAAGACTGTTTGGATACCAAAATCAGTCTGCTCTCATGTGCTTTGTTTGACTTTCTTATCTCACTTATTCATTAGTGCACTTTTAACTTCAATACGTATTTCATCACACACGTATACCGACAATAATTTTATCATGTGCAAGATTAGATTAGACAAGGTTAAAACAAGGTTTTATTAATTCAACAAAGACATTCAGAAGTGTGTTTAAGTAACAATAAACGCTGGAAACCTCCAGCAGTTCAATGAGTTCAAGTGGGGGGAATGTTATATACTCAAATACAACACACTATTTTTAGGTACTTTCTGTATTTCCATTTAACTTTATACTTATACTCCACTACCTTTCAGCAGAAAACATTGTTCTTTTTACACTTACAACCACATTTACTACTTTACAAATTAAGATATAACATTTAAAAAAAATACCAAACAGTATATAAATTAAAATTTTATTATAGTTTGATAATAGTGAGGATAATGCTGTGGTCAGTAGTTTAATTTTATATTTTATAGTTTGCAGGTAAATCGGTCTGAGTTTGGCATCCCCTGATGGTAATTTTATTACTTTTTTATTTTTTTGGTTTGTTTTGTTTCTTCTGTTTTTCAAAGACAAAAATAAAATAAAAATAATAATGTGGCCAAAAACCACAAAAATCTTATATCTTTAAAGGGAAGTTAACTCTTCTGTACTTTTACTTAAATAAGATTTTGAATTCAGGACTTTTAATGGAGTATTTCTACATAACATTATTGTATATGTAGATTTATTTAACTAAAGGATTTGAATCTTCCATTACTATATAGCTGCACATATATTGAGCCGTATGTGATAAAAATACATTTTCTTTCCATGGGACATTCTGGCATAATATGGCCTCTTTCATAAAAGAGTCACCCAGAGGTTACAACAATCATGTTGTCTTAAAAACCTTTGATAAAGTCAGAAGCTTAACATAGATCTTAGAGCGAGCGAACACAAAATGGAACGATAATTGTATCATCTGCTCTAATGGCAGCTATTACAACAATAGTGATGGTGACCTGGAGGTAGGGGGGGAGCAGCGAGGAAAGGCCCTCTGAGGTGACCTCTGCCGGGAAAGGGCAAGCTCAGGCAAGAGTCAGGGCGTCAGGGGCTCGCCACCTCGTCTGGCACTCTGAACTATCCATTCACAGGCTAACACAACAGCAAGGCATCGCTGTGACCCTGTGGGTGTGACACTCAACCTTTGCCTTAACCTCCTGACCGCTGGTCACAGCTGCAGCTGACCGGCTCGGGTAGGTCAGGGCACGGGGTCGGCTGGAGGAGGGAGAAGTGATAGGGATGATTGAGAGATGAGTGAGGAGAGAAGATGGAGGGAGAGGAAATGGAGGATGGAGGCAGGGAAATGGGGGTATGAGTGAGAGGTAAAGAGCAATGGATGGGTATGAAGAGAGGTAAGAGTAAGCAGGGTTTTTAAAGGATTGGTACACCCGAATTACAACCCTCCCCCCTCACAAATTTTCTCAATAACTTTCCATTGTATTTTATTTTTTTTGCCTTTATACATCTGTCGCCAAACCAATACACTCTACACTATGTTGTGCTTGCAGCATACAAAGGATAAGGCTGGCATTTTATTTTGGCAACAAATCCAATGAAATGACCAAAACCAAAAATGTGTTTATGCCTTAATACTTTCTTTGAATGCTTCAATCCAATTATTTAAACAGTTAATAGCATTTTTTTATTGTTTCATGTAAATGGTCCACTTTTTCCTAATTTCTGTCAAAAACGTTTTTTGCTCAGTACATCACAACACAGTATGGCAAAACCCATAATGTCACATGAGTATGTTTGTTGTGGCTCTCAGCCCCATTCATTGCTACTGAAGTTGTAAATCTTTAAAAACAAGTTATAAATGTATGAATAAATACAAATATATAAACAATACTAAACCAGCTTTGTCGTGTAGATTATAGACCTGAAATAAAATCACATTTTGAGCATGTTGGTTTAAAAGAAGTGTAAATAGTGAAAGGCAGAGAGAGAATGATGAAGAGCACTATGAAAGTGCTAAGAAGACAAATGGGCTGGTCGTACACTTCGTGTGCACATCATGTGTGCCATTGTCTTGGTTCCCATCCCCCTCCTCGGAGCTTTGTCCAGACAACACCGCCAGCCGGGAGCGTTTTCATAGTCAGTTTTTACGGGGAAAAGGACATGTGCGCTCTCGAGGTCAGTCCCGAGGTCCTCAGTGGGGTCAGTCCTTGAATCAGTCTTACACATTCATGACTGCATGACAGCTGTTTCTCTGAAATAAGGCATGCATCTTGTGATGTGTGACTCCTGTTAGACAAGTTAAGCCTTGGAATCCTGTTTATTGATAACTCTCACACAGGGTTGAAAAGACAGAACTGAGGGTGCTTTCCATGTTCTACTACTCTACATACTCTATATTTACCTCTAAAGGGCCAATGAATGCCTGAGCGGACGGCTGTAGATGTCAGTGATGGGTTGACAGATAAAGAGCTGAAAAACAGATGGATGAATAAGAACGTATCTCTCTTCAAGGACAGAAAAATAACACACTTCATAACATATTGTATTCTCAAGACAAAGAGTCTACAGCCATGCTAGTGGTGCTGTGTGGCTGTAGGCTTACTTTGGCACAGCGGTGCTTTGAGCTAGATGTTGGCATGCTAAATGCTGTTGATAAGCAGGTCTACAATGTTCACTATCTTAATTTACTATTTAAACATGCTAACATTTGCTACACAGAGTAGGCTACAGTTGAGGCTTATGGGAATGTCATTATATAAACCAAAGAACTAACAAATGGAAAAATCTGGTGTACTTAATAGGCTATGGATATCTGTACTTAATTTCATGGCAATCCATTCAATGGCTGATGATGATATTTCAATCTCAGCCAAAGTGGACCACATGTATGTAATCATACAGTCTTTTATCTGTACGGTGCAATAACTTCACAAACTATAACAAATACATATGAGCGACTTGAGTTCAGCAGGGCTGTACACTGTAGCTCATACATTTGACAAAGGCTGAGAATATAAAGGATCACAGAACGGTCTCTTCCCTCCTCCACTCCAAGGCCTCTCCCGCAGCTTTTGGTGCTCCACTCTGGTGGTTGTGACTCTCCATCATCGCCGCCACCTTCTGCTCCAGCCTCCAAACCTGCTCGCGGTACTTCCTGCGAATCTGCCGGTACGAACTCAAGGCTTTACTGGAATGAAAGGAGAGATACAGTTTACTATACTGTCGTTAACAGTGACACTACAGAACTAGTACTTGTTAGCTTTGGTTGCAGAAAGATGATGATGAACAAAGACATGCAGTCTATTAAATACCTTCACTTACCTGTGAGCTTGTGTGAGCCGAGCAATCTGCTCTCCATTGTCCCTCCTCTGGGAGTTGCTGTCTGACAGAGCTGTGTTTAGTGAGTCGTGCACTAAAGCCAGTCTCTTCTTCAGGGCTTGTTCCCTGAAAAGAAAAACAGTAGGATAATTTGAAACACAGTGGTAGAGGAAGTATTAAGTCTTTACTTAAAAAAAATACTAATACAACACTAAAAATACTCTTTTACAAGTTAAAAAAAAAATACCTAAAGTATTAAAAGTAAAAGTACTTGATGCAGAAATGGCCACTGTGACTGTTATTATTATATAATTATATCAATATTTTAATCAAAATTTTGTACAGGACTGCAACTATTGATTATTTTGGTTATGAATAATTCGGCTGATTATATTTTCAAGTAATCAATTGATTGTTTGGTATGTATTGGTATTGTAGGTTTAATTACTTCAGTAAATATAGTTAAAAACTTTACACCACTGAATCTGAAGTAATGAACATCATGTCAGTCACTTCATTGTGCTTAAGGCACTGAAGATGTTTTCTCTCAGAAACTCAAGAATCATGACTTTATGATGTGTCCTTGACTTTAGAGGGAATGTGCTGTAAAGTGTGAACAGCTGCTTTATTTAGAGGTATTCACTACATGGAGTCAGAGGAGATAGATGATGCTCTCTGAAGCACCTGATGGAAAGATCTAGTCCTTTATGCTAGAACCCCTTTATGTAAAAAGTCTGCATTTGTGCTAATAGTGTTCCTAAGCAACAGATAAAACTAGGCAACAGACGTCTGAATGATTCATTTTTTTTACACTGACTGCATTCATCAGGTACCTGTGAAGGTCTGTGACCCAGGTTTCTCAAGTTATGTTTATTAATTTACCAGAGTGTAAAGACACTTTAAAAATAGTCAAAAGCTAATATTTGAATATATACAAAAGCCATTTAATACGTGTTTTTAATGATAATATTGTATAATAAGAGGGCATAGGTTTTTTCACTTGGTTTTTTTTCAGTGTTAGTGCTTTAAATGTTAGACTACAGAGAAATGACATTGTCTCACCTCTGCAGGACGACCTGCAGCTCTTTCAAAATGGGTCTGGTTCGAGGGCCGGCGATGTCTCCATCAATACCCAGTTTAGCTGCATTTTCATAGAGCCTCTGAAACATAACATTAAATTAGGATTATCTTTAAAACTCAACCCCCTCCTTTTCCATTCAGTTCTTCACAGTTATACACAGATATCTAAAGCAATGATTCCAAACCTGTTCAGCTTGTGATCATCTAAAGTAAAGCAGTGTTGCAGTCCAACAAAAGACTGGTTTCTTCTCACAAGTAGTTTTTATTTGAATGGATTTGAGAAGCCCAAAGTGGTAAAAGCAGCATCCAAAATTAACACCTGCCAACATCCCCAATTTGGGGTCACAGCGTAGGGTTTTTATGTGTTCTGACTGAGAGTCACTAGCAGTTCACTAATATTTAGCACTTTCTACACAATGTCTGCCATAAGAAACATCTGTGTTACATGTTATTAGAGATGTGGCGACACATTCCCGGTGATAAGCCACCAAAAAGAAAACAGGAAGACGAAAAAGAAAAGTGGTGTCCGAAAGACTTGAGCTGATTATGTTTAGTCAAATAATACATGATGCCAAAGCAAAAGTTAGAAAAGTTAGAAAGTAGAAGCAGAACAGAATGTTTTGCACATTTTTTTTTTCTTATTTCCATCTTGTTAATCACCTTGAGACCAATCACATGTATCTATTCTTAAGCCCTAGGTTGGGAGCCACTGATCTAAAGGGAAAGGACAGTGCAGAAGAGAATTACTCTCATTATGCTGCAATCAGAAGTCATTTTGCTTCTGGTAGAATAGTTAACAGGTAAAAAGTCTCTAAGGTCAGTGTGACCTTGTGCAGTCAGACAAGATCTTCTTGTTGTTCTTCTGAACCATTGTAAACAAAAGAAGACAGTTTCAGAGGGACATTTCAACCCCAATGTTTCTGGTGCTTTGTGCCACAGTAACAGCTAATGTGTTAACCTAAAATGTCTGTTCAGTTCTTTCTCATTTGACAATGACACATGAGGTGTGTGGTGCAGTATGAAATCTGTGCTGGGGCGACAGGACAGCCCAGCAGAAGACCTTGTAGAACCAAAATATCCTTCTTGGCCTGAAGGGATTCTGCTTTGGTAGATGTGTGATTTCCCATGTGGGACACCCATATTTGAATCGGGTCTGCCACAATAGACCAACGTCCTGCTCCCTCTTGCTCATTTCACCTTGACTTTGTATTATTTGAAAATTAAAAAAAAAAAAAAAGGTCTCTGTTGCTGATGTAGGAGTCTGTCCTACCTGTTGTTCGGTCTTACGATCCTCCAGCTCCTCTCTGAGGCCTTCTGGAACGAAAACTCCAGCTGCTTCCTGGGCCTTCTGGGCCATTAAACTCCACTCCAGACATCTCAGCTCTTTCTCCTTGAGGCGGATTAGAGCTCGCAGATCTGACATCTCCTCCTGAACATAAAGAGTTATACCATAAACCATAGTATATAAAGAGCTCAACCCAGATACTGTAAAGCTGTGGTGGAAGAAAGTTTATCACTAAACTAGCAGGGTTTACCTCCACTTTTGAGCTTTTATGGGATGTTATAACCCATATGGTTAGAATTTTTACATGATTTCAGACTTTGGTGACTCATGTCATATCTTGTTTGTTTAATCAAAAACAAGTTGTGGTTTTACAGTGAGTTATGTACAAGTCTATTTCTTGGAACCAATTCCTAGATTCTTGCCGGTTGACTGGCAACCTCGCAAAGACAACAAGACTCCAGGAAATTAGTTTCTTCTTTTAAGATTTCCTTTTTGGCATTTTCACCTTTATTGGACAGGAAGGAATAGAGTCAGAGAAGAAACCAGGGGAGAGAGAGAGACATAAGGGAATGACATGCAACAGAGCTTCCCAGCTGGAATCAAACTTTGGAAGTATGCCCACACTTCAGTTTGTAAACAATTTAAAATAATCTAAAAGCTACTTTAGTACATTTAAGATCTTGATCTTGATATATAATACATTAAGGTCAACAGCTCCTACCCTGACAGAGATGAGTTCATAGAAGAGGGAAGCTTTCTCTTTCTTGGCATCAGGAGGTTTGGCATTATCTTTAGTCACATGTCCTCCTCTTGATCCAGCCGGGTGACCAGTCTCTGGGCTCATTTTGCCCTCAACTCCTGGACTCGGTTTAGGCAGACAAATGGCTGCCCGGTCCTTCTTCAGGCGCTCAATTTGCTGACGAAGAACGGCCTCTCGCTCCACCAGCTCAGGGGTCCTGAGGGGTAAGAGGTAGTGAGTCACCTGGCAAGAACTTGGTCCGAGAAATGGCCATTTTTTAATTCAAATGCTCTTCATGAGTCATCCCTAACGGCTTTTGAAACAATTAGTCAGTAGCATGTAGATCTTTGTTGTTGGCAGGATGATATATGGAATATTTGTCAATTTTTATCATTTTTGTTTGTAACTTCAGTCTGTCAGTCTGATCTACAGTCACTACTGACACATGTTTTCCTTTATCCCCATGAATGTACAAAGAATACTTTAAAACGTCACCTTTGCCTTGTGTGACTCTGTGTTTCCGTTGGCTCTGTGGCGCCTGCTGTTGAGAAGGAGGTGGACAGCTCCTCAGTTCCCATTTTTCTGAGCTGAGCTGATGGACTGTCGGGCTGCTGCCTGTCAACGACTGCCTCTGATGAGAGGAAAAAACTATGAGCCTGAATGTATATTTGTGTGTGTGTGTGTGTGTGTGTGTGTGTGTGTGTGTGTGTGTGTGTGTCAGTGTGTATGTTTGTGTGTGTGTGAATGACATGCATAGCTACTGTATATGTAAGTGAATGTGTGCACTGAGTTGTAAGCAGTATTAAAACATGGTATTCAAACACCTGCTAAGTCTGTCTGCAGAGGAATGCTTTGCTGCTTCCTGGCGTCATAAAGTGACAGCAGCTCGCTGTAGGCCTCTTCGCACTCCTCACTGTCAATCACAACCACAAAGACAAAATACGACCTCACTAGATGAGAAGAACCTAAATGAATGCTGTTAGACTGCTGACCTGTGCACATTCATTATTTTGACACATACCAAAGAACGTTATTGACAATATGTATATGTGTGCAGACAGGTCTTTGTACTTGTGTGTCAGGTGTGTTTTATGTGTGTACCAGTATCTGAGAGCTATCTGCAGGGCAGAGCAGTCAGACTCTAGTCTGTTTAATGTAATACTGATCTGTTCGGACTCTCCCTTTCTTCGCTCCAGAGCTGCAGTCAGCCGTTCATTTCTGGCCTTCAGCCTCTCAATGCACCTGAGATAATGAGGGAGAGGATGAGGAGGGTTAAGAGCAAAAACGAGAGGGAACACTGTTGTTTCAGTATCAGAGATCACAATTCAAATAACTTTGAGTATGAATACCGGCAAACTTGAATGGGTCAAAATATAAACAAAATATATAAAAGACAGTTACTTTAACCATTTATTCATGACATGATTCTTCATAAAGTCACTTGGGCTAACTAGCTAACCTAAGATAAGATACAATAGAACCTTATGTATCACGAGGGAAATTGTTGCAGGAAACAGTGCAAATGTAAACAAAGAATATATAAAAAAGCTTAATTATCAATAAGGTGCAAACCAAATGTACACCATACCAGAAATGTAAACAGGTTAACGATATGAACCATAAATATAAACTGGTTAACAGTATGTTTCAAATAGCAGTAAAGCAGCCAAAGCAGTAGTAATGGTAAAAATAAACATGTTAATAACTTAAAAGTTGGCTGAAGAACCCTGTATTTACATAATTCACAATCCTATTCACATGCTCTACACAGTGTGTGTGTGTGTGTGTGTGTCTTGTCTGTTTGTCTTGTCTTGATATAAATGGAATAAACTCAGTCAAGAAAACTATCTTTGCACACCTGTATAGATATGACAATGACTGATATTAATTTTTTACTTATTATTTAAGTCAAAATGCACAATTAATGCCCAACAAAGGTTATTTAACCAAAAAATAGCTATTAGATTTATGTAATAAAAGTGTTGACAGTGTGCTGTACAGTAGCTGCTTTTTATTACGTTAACATCCAGAGCTGCTCCTCAGTCTCACCTGTTCAGTCGTTCTGTCTCAGACTCCAGGCTGATGGGGCTAGGACAAGGACTGCATGAGTTAACTGAGCCCAGCGGAGAACCATCCCCACCCACAGAGAGAGGTGTTACAGTTCTGGATGTTCTTCTGTGGAGTAATGGTGAACCAGGCAAGGGAGGCGAGGCCCAGTCTGGACTGAGAGCCCCAGAAGGGGGCCAGTAGGAAGGAGAGCAACTGCCTGACTTCCAGGCCTTATGGAGAGCAACCAGCTGAAAGACAAGAGAAGATTTATGTTGAATCACCGAGGCATCTCAGAAGGGTTTGTCTGGTGGAAATGTACTCACTCCTCTTAAATTGATTCATATTTTTACATTTCCCATAAACAAGACTGATAGCAGAGCAACTCCTACCTTGTTCTTCTCCTCTTCCGTCGGGCTCATGGTGCTCTGTTCTCGCTCCGGCTCCTCTTGGTGACTCTGCAATGTGCTTCTGAGAGCAGGGTCACGCTTCTCGACATCCAGGATGTCCTCCTGATACTGGTCCTTTGGCAGGCCTGATGGGCATGAAATCCCAAACTCTCTTTCCATGTCCTCCAATATCTGCAACCAGTGAGCAAAAATTACTAACGTGGCTGATGGGAGTCTAAAGATAGCCTGAACAATGACATATTTTGTCCTAAATTGATTCATTAAAATTCAGACAGACACAGCGATGACCTCTTCTCATTTTTGAGATTTATAGATGAACTTAAACTGTTAATGTTGACTGACTGAGCGGAAAATTTGTCCTATAAGTAAATTTGACCTGACATTAGTTTTCTTAGGATTTCACAGTTTTAATAACAAAAATGAGAACACATGAAATAATCATGTGAATTTGTTACAGTTTTAATACCTGAGTGGCTTTAACCCAGCTCTCCTGGGCCGCTCTCAGATGCTCTTGGTGCTTGTCCTGGTCAGAGGCTGTGATGGGGGCAGCCCAGGACCTTTTAGAGCTGATGGAGTCCTCCACTGATGATAAAACCTCCTGGAGTTTAGTCCAGACTACGCCACCACCCCCTGGTGGTTGAAAAGTGGAGGTGCAATTAATCATATTAGATGGTGTGAGGGGCAGTTTTATATTCTACCAGACAAGAATCGCCTCTGTCTGTGATGGAAAAACAAGAGTATAGCTTGCTTTATCCAAGATAACTTGCTGTCTTTTACAGACCAGAATAAATATTAAAATACATCAGTTGGACACAGAATTTATTTCCCACACACAGTACAGTTCTGCTTAATAAAGAAAAGGTTATGCCGTCTCGGTGCCAACCTCGGCCAGTCAGTGCAGGTTCAGATGTGGCAGCGGAGGCAGTGCTCCTCTCAGGGCTGCTTCTGGCCAGCCTGTGGGACAGAAGGTCTGGAACCAGAGGTCTGGATGGTCCTGGTGGTCTCAGGTTCCCTGATTCACTAATGAATAGAGCAGCATTATCATTTTGCTACTAAATAGTAGTGTGTGTATTGTTGTGTGTAAGTTACAAGCAGACCAATACATCATTTATATTAATGGGCTCATAACAGTCTAAATTCACATCACTAACGTTACCTTGGTGCCTTCAATGACCCCATCTTCTTGTTCAGTTCAGCAATGATGCTGAGCAGCGTGCCCACCTCAGCCTCACACTGAGCCAGTTCTTCTGGTGAAGGCTCGAGATTTACTGTGAGGTCAGAGCTCTCAGGGTCAAGGGTCATATGGTCGATTGGTGTCATCACCTCCCTGTCACACCCTGATCCAGCATCCAGGCTGTCACATCGGACCAGGCTGGAATCCTGCAGAAACATGAAGTCGTATTAGGAAAATAACTTGGTTGGACTCGTTTAAGTAATTTATTTAGCTTTCTGTCCTTCAGTACTACTTATATACACGTGTATATGAATATAATACACATAATATGTATGTTCTTGCTGCCTGAATAATCATCATCCAGTGAAAAATGCTTATAATTAAACTACAATAATCCCTCCACATTAAAAAATCTGTTATGGTCTTGAACCAGACATTGTTGCGGCACTATTTAACAGCTATTGTTTTAAGCAGCGGAAGAGGAGGAAACTAAAACATCCTGAGATCCAACTTCCTGCCTAGCAAATATTTGTGGGCCAAACTATCTTTTGTTGTGCACAAAGAATGTCGGCTAAATGCCTAAAACATAAAATTAGAACAAAGCACCACTCATTTATACTCCTACAAAGTGCATGTGACGCCTAGAAATATGCCAAGACGATACAATTTACAACAGCTATCTTTTTGATTTAACATATATTAGTTAGTAATACATCTACTGATCACTTATTACTGTTCACAGAAAGACTATCCGAGCACGCACTGGGCAAAAAGCATTAAACACTTTGGACAAACACTCACATTTCTGGCAAAGTCTCAAATTATTTAAGTATGTGAATGGGGGGGTGATACATCTCTAATAATTATAGAATTTGTAAACATGTAAAGCTACAAATCGTACAACACCAAGTATGATAAGTGACATATTTCCAAGACAAACACTGAAAAACATCATAACTTACCTCCATAGTTCTTGATCCTGACGTCTGCAGCAGTAGTTGAGGCGGTTCACTGCCTGCAGTTAAACGTCTGACCAAATTAGAGAATGTTTTGTTCAGTCCTGTTATTTTTGTCTTGTTATATTTTCCAGTAGTTCATCAGTCAGCTTTCTGCATGTCTGCCCGACAGTGTTTAGTGTGATGAATGAAGTAAGTGGAAAACACTCAGAAAGTCATCCCCACCCATTCCTCGTCACTTTGTGTCCTTTCCTGTTTTGTCCACACTTAGCTCCCATGCCTTTTTTTAATAGTAGACTGTGAGTAAACTCTAAGCACATACTGTTGCTGCTCTACAAGTACTAAGGTATTATGTAATAAGAAAAATGCATGAAGTTATAATCAATTTGGACCATGACACTGACTTGCTAAAGGGTGTTTTTTCTCTCTCTCTGTTTACTGAAAAGACAATTTCTGCTGTATTAATTTACCTCAAGCGCCAGACCTTGCAGAATTGTGTAGTTTCCTGTTTCTTACTGTTTCCTTTTACTTTAGGGATGAGTTTTTAAATCTATTATCTACATCACATATTTTTTTCATCCTGGTAAGAGTCTCTGTAGATTGGAGCAATGCAATGGAGATGTAAAAGAAAGTACTATATCTAATCTAATATATCTAAAATCTAAAATATTAATATCTATTATCTACGCTACTGCTTGAAGATGTGTAAATAAATCACTTTTATGGGGCTAAATCACAAAATAAATTCACATTACTTGAAGATTTTATTGTTTTATTCATTATTTTTATTTGCATTCATTCCTGCCATTACAACAGCTTGTACAACTGCAATTACCACTAAAACAAACTATATTGTAGTGGTAAAAGAACAAAAAAATAAAGTAAAAAGTAAGCTCCTCATTAAACTTCATTACCCACAATGCTCTGACCCTTCACTCTTCCGGATTGGATCATTTCCGGTGAGGAAGTTTGTCCGATCAAAACAAATGTTATTAGCTCGTCGCTGAAACATTTTTGCAACTTTCAATGAGTTTAATTTTATTTTAAACCCACAATTTTCGCAGTTACTCATCCGGTAAGTCTGCTTTTAACTTTAAACATTTAAAACGTTTCGAGTCGTCTCATTTTCTCTGTTCTAAGCTAATGCTAACAGCTCCCATTGCTATTATCATTAAACATCACCTGGCTCTACTGTGCCGTCCTCCCTGTGTTAGCTCCTTGGACTCACTGTCTGGCTTTCTGGACACATTAATAGATGTAATTCTAACTAAACCATTCATGCTGTAAAGCTAAAACACCTCAGTTTTATTATTCCGGTTGGCTTCATGCTGCACTTTGTGTTCACACGGACAGAGTCGCAGCTCAGTTGTGCAGCTTTGTGTGTTAAATAAAGGGCATGAAAGTTAGTGTACTGTTTCTGAGCATCATATAGCTTTCTTGTAGGATCTGTGTTGAGATGGAATGAAAAGTAGCTGTTGTTTATTTCATATTTAATATCAGTGAATGCCAACCACAGCTAAATATAAAGGAAATTCTGGTTAATAAATGGTTAATAGTGTCTCTTCATGCATAAACTAACTTAACACATTCATCATCTCCACTTCCTTAGCAACCTGTGTATCCATGGAGACGCCAGAGCCAGGCCCAGCAGATGGAGAGGAGCGTCTGGTGGACCTGCGACCTCGAACACGCTCCAACCCTGAAGGTGCTGAGGACCGTCGCAGCAGCACGGGCAGCCTCGGAGGAAACAGTAACCCCAACATATCTCAGCCTGCTGTGGGAAGTCGCGTCGAGGGGGAGGGCGAGGCCTCGACCAGCGACAGTCCTCCCAGTTCCACCACCACTACGGTCTCGACAGCTGCAGCTCAGACTGTTGCCCCTGTTGCAGTAGCATCAGCAGCGGCTGCAGCCAGCGCCACAGTACCGCTGTCCACTGCTGCTGTTGCGGCCAAAGAGAGGCCGAAGCCCACACAGCAGCAGCAGCAGCAGCAGCAGCCCACGTTGACAGCGTCTGTGCCTCCACCAGCAGAGTACCAGCTCAGAGTTCCCCGTGTCAACTGTCCAGAGAAAGTGGTAGGTCCACATTATAGTTCTGATTCATGTTTCACATGAAGATGAAGACTTTACATTCACCGTAAGGATTTTACAAACTGTTGTTGTCTTCAGATCATCTGCTTGGACCTTTCTGAAGAGATGTCTTTGCCAAAGTTGGAGTCCTTTAATGGGTAAGCTGCAGTGAAGTAAACCTTTTATTCCCCAGTGGAGGTGTTTTTATTCGTCATCACTGCCTAATTTGGCTGTTTGTCCATTTAGGTCTAAAACAAATGCCCTGAACATATGCCAGAAGATGATTGAGATGTTTGTCAGAACTAAACACAAGATCGACAAACGGCACGAGTTTGCCTTGGTAGTAGTCAATGATGACGCTCTGTGGGTGAGTATATGAATATATTAATCTGCTCCAAAGGTTACGTGCAGTCCCTGTGCAAAGCATCTATGCAATAAGTCTCCTATTCCCTACAATAGTTTTCTTTTCCCCCTTCTTATGTTTATGTGTGTGTGCCTCAGTTGTCAGGCTTCACCTCTGACCCCAGGGAGCTGTGCAGCTGTCTGTATGACCTTGAGACCAATGTGTGCGAGTCCTTCAGTATCCTTTCATTCAAACTCTTAAAACGTTGATGATATAAAAATACGTAGGATAATAAAGAGTTTTAGAAGTTTAATCCTTAACCATTCTCTGTAGACCTGGAAGATCTTCTTAATGTAATGTAAGTACTCTCTGACTATAAACCTTTTTTTAAGATACATGAAACTTTACATAGAAGTGTTTTCTGAAAGTCATCTCTTCCTCCGTTGTCTTCGTAGTCGTCAGAAGATCGAGCTGCCGTCGATGGAGAACGTTCAGACCATCCCTCCTCCATTTGTGGTACGGACTGTGCTCATCTACAGCCGTCACACTGGACAGCTTCAGTTCAACCCTTCTGAGGCTGTTGGTGTAAGTATGAAAACTGCTGACGTAGCCCTCTTTAGTGTGTTTTTAATGTGAATTTGATTTCATGCCTCCACTCCGACGGCCAGAGGCATAAAAATCTGTCTCATTCTTGTGAACACAATATCTCAGGAACGCCTCGAGGGAATTGGGTCATATTTTGCACAAGCGTCCAGTAGGACTCAAGGAGGAACTGATTAGATGTTGGTGGTCAGTTCAAGGGCTTTAAAGACAAAATACAAAAATAAATTTTTGGTCATAAATCAATAATTAATTACCAAAGGATTTCCAAAAGTTCAAAGGTCAACTTCCTTGTCACATAATGTCCTAGAAAAATCCTTTTTGGGGCCATTATTCAACACCCTAACTCAGGAACAGAAGGGGAGATTGTGACTATATATCACGGTGACACTTCTGAGTCAAAGGTCAAACGTCATTGTGGCCACAAAATAGGTTTTATCCATAATTTACATAATTTATACCTCATTCTGAAGTTCACTGGAATCACATGACTGAAAACTGGAGCAGGATTAGCTCATCGTGATTGAGTGAGTGAGTGAGGTTTACCCACAGCTTATAGAGAGCCATTGCGTCTACACATGCCAGGAGCAAACAAAAGCATAAGCAAATTTTATTGTGCTCCACAATAATCAGAATCAGGTTCAGTAAGTTTTCACACACGAGGAATTTACCTTGTTACACTGGGACAAAAGAATCACAGTCAAGCGTAGAAATATATAAATAGAGATAAGAAGATAAAAAAATTGAGACAATAAAAAGGAGCCACTATATACAGATATAAAGAGTGAGAGAATAATAATATAAAGTCAATTGTATTAAGTAAATATAATGCATAATATACTTTATATATATACATATATATATATATATATATATATACACTACTCACAAAAAGTTAGGGATATTGCACTATAACCTTTCCTGGTGATCTTAATTTGACCTTCTACTTAAATGCCCTACTTTCATGATATAATATCACTGTAGCATCAACTTTTTACATTTTCCATAAATTTCACCCGAAAGTGGAATTGTTGTTAAATTGCAATGTGAGCGGCAGCCAACGGGGGTGCAGGATCATTTAAAAGGCAACTGTGACTACATTGTGCGTCTGCCTCATTTTCTATTAAAATCGACATAGAGGAAACACTGCATATATTAGATAAGTCTGGACAGACATTGATGTAAACTGCTACTCGACATGTGGTAATTGTTGTTTTTCTCTTGAGTATGTTGGCTGCTTTGAGCAGTGCGCTAATTCCTGCTCGTTCTTGTGTCCCACCACAGAAAATGCTGCAGTCTCCATATTTTTTCTTCGATGTGGTCTACCTACACAACGGGGTGGAGGAGCAGGGAGACGAGACCAGCTGGAGGGTGAGTGAATCAGCTGGTAAAAAGACAGCGATCAGTTCTGATTAGTTTATTTGTTTGGTGCAGTGGATCATTAGTGTACTTCAGTTGAACAAAAAAACTTAAGTATATGGTTTTTGTATTCTCTCTGATCCATAGAGCAATGCTGAGCTGTGTTATGATATATAGGCATGTAATCATTCTGATTTTGTCCAAAGCATGATGAGCGCTGAGTCTGTATCATTACAGCTAGATTGATAATTAGTGGAGCTCCTAAACAGACTGTAGCTGGGATTGTGACTATACTATCATGGGATGACAGGGCTTTGGCCGTTGCTGTCACTGTGATTGTGGCTGGCTCTGCTCTGGTTCTGATTATGGCTTTGACACATATAATGGGTGTATCACTAACTACATACAGGGGTTGTGTGTGTCCAGTGAATTTACACGGTTGAGCTGGCTGAGCGTTGTATTGATGTTGCTGAACTCTTCTAGTGAATTGGTAGCACATCTGTCATATCTAATAAAAGCAATCCTGTGTGTGTTAACAAGGGTTTCTTGGCTGATGTTAATAGGAGCATTAAAGAGTAGTCACAGTACAACTATTGTACCCATATCCGTAGCATCATAGATTCAACCACACATGCAGCCGTAGTTGAGCAATAACCATATCCAGAGCCACAGCTACAACCAGCTGCAGCTGTGCCTGTGGCTCTATACTGTCAGAGCTCAGCGTTTTTTACTGACCTATAAATGCAAAATATTTAAACTGGCAGTGTGTTATAACTGGACTGGACCAACACACTAACTGTTCCTGTGCATCAGGGGGGAACTAGGGATGTAACGATATGCAATTAACAGTATGATTTTCTCATTGATTTATTTAACAAAATTAGATTGAAGACAAATTAATTAATAATTAACTGAGAAAGATTTTCTACATTAAATTATAGGATCCTTTTTTTATTTCTGTGGTATTTAGTGGTATAAACTGTGCAATGCAGATTTCCTTTTGTTTTTAAAGGGAAACTGAAGTCTTTACACCTTGATACCATGATTGATATCACGATTCATTTTTCATTTCACCGCCTTGAATCTTTGAATCACAATTTAACTTGTCTTGTAATATATCTTTACATTCCTCAGGGGAAACCAAAAGGTAGTTTAGTGAATTAATTGAAGTACTTCTGTCCATCTTACTAGGCCTAAAGTGTGTGGAAGGATGTTATACTTAAATATAACAGCTTTGAACATGATGGTATAGTCTGAATCTTTCTCCACGTGCTTTATTTCAACTGTATATTTTCTGTCTCCAGGACAACTACACCTCTTTCTGCAACCTGGACTCAAAGGGCATGTGCTATCGCTTTGAGGTTTCCCTGAGTGGACCTGCCATCGAGCTGCACAACTGCATGGCCAAACTCCTGGCTCACCCTTTACAAAGACCTTTCCAGAGCCATGCCTCTTACAGCCTTCTGGAGGGGGAAGACCCCCAAGACACTGAGGCAACAGTTTAAAACAGCACACACTCATGAAGCCTCTCTTTCTCTGAGAAGTTCACACACTGTCACAAAAGAGCAAGTACACCTTTAGTACTGAGGGTTTTTTTCCATTAACTGCTGTAGAGCAATAAAAGTAGTAGTAGTACATAGTTCTAAAGAAAGAGAGTGTTTCAGAAGGTTACTTTTAACTCAGTTGTCATATTTCCTGATTCACTGATTTCTCTAAGCTGGGGAGTAATAAAATGTTGTCTGTAAAGCTGCTGGTCTCCTGGGGTTGAAGTGGATGTCAGAGTCCAGGAACAGGACACAAGTAGAAGGAGAAGATAAAGAATTTAAAAAATTGTTAAAGCATCAGGATTAGTTAAACTAACTCCCTCATCGTTTGTTTTTTTTCTTTCAAATCTTAGACCACGCTGATCTGTCTGTAAGTCTTATTGTGTGAAATCAATGCAAACCTGTGGCAGTTTTTTTTTTGAGACTTATGAACTGTAATACAATGGCACAACTTCTGTAACATTGCCTTTCCTTTTAGTTGGTCATTTTCACCTTTTGTTGCCTGTTTTTAATGTATTTTCTATTTTGTAAGTGGTTTTTTTTTTCCAATCATTTGTTCATTTGTCACTCTTGTGTGTTACACAGACAATGAAAGAATGTATAGTAAAGTAGAAGTGGCGACTCTTTTGATGGATTGATTGTGAAAAAAGCCCCTCATACTGCCAGTCTAACTGACACTGTACAGATGAGCTTTTTAAAGCTTATTTCTGGATATTAAAAACAAAAGGCATGTTTAATCATACTTTTCATGTTCACACGTGCTTTCTGCGTTGTTGTCAGGAGAGGGCAGCATATCCCCTCTAGAGATAACTGAATTCAAACGTTATGTTAAAAAGGTCCACAAGGGTAAAGCCTAATTTCTTTACAGGTTTCTATGTTCTAAACGTCAATTTTGCTATTTTCTTGAAATTTTTCTGCTTTGATCAGCTGTCAGTTTTGCTACGTTTTTTTGCTTAAATCTCCAGACATCTTTACTATCAAGCTTTATAATCAGAGTCACTTTAATTTCTGGATCTACAGACCTAAATGACAGCTTGATTAAGCAGTTATTGCAGCTACGGCTCAGAATCTTATCTGTTAGCCACTATTGGCATGATTATTACTTCAGTGGTTAATACATGTTTTCCTTTATGCCCTAAAGGTGTCTGGTCAGTTATCTTAAGAGAGGTTTTTATCTCGATCTTTAACCATTTAGTTTCCTGTTTTTGTTCAGGAGTTGATCCAATGTCTGTCCTGACAGTCACTCATTTTCAGTCACTCTAACATGCCTTCATAAATTAGTTTTTTTCCGGTGAGGACGGGTTGTCAGGGAGACAATGGGGAGCAGGAAAACCCTGGGCTCAGAGGACCTTTCCCCTTTCACACACACTTCCCCAGAAGAGCCGGCTGGTCCTCACGTCATCACTGCAGATAACGGCGCGGGGGGGATCCAGTGTGTCTGTACTGCAGGGAGAATTTGTTATTCCCTCATGCCTGAAGAATGACAGGTCCCTATTGTTTTCATTCTTTCACTCCTCTACTGCCATGACTCCTTTCCGTGTTCACTTAAAACAGGATATGGTGAATTTTCTGCTTTTACTCCTTACATGGTTTACATTGTTCATCCACCACCAGGGGAATATGACCAATTCTATCACAATCTGTAGTGGCTATATTTAAATGTTGCACTGGTGGGTGATTTTCCTGGTTTCTTTTACATCGTGTGCAGACAGTGGTGGAAAATAACTAAGCACATTAACACAACTACTGTACTTAAGTACAATTTTGAGATACTTTACTTGAATATGTACATATATAAACAAATTCTTTAAAGAAAGTGTCTTTAATCAACAATATTTCTTGCCTTTAATCAATTGCAACCAACCGACCACTGGCAGTCTGAGCCCCGGGGGAGTTGTCCTCTTTGCTAGTTGGTAATCCAGCCTTGCCCAAAAGTACATGTAAGTATAAAGGAGGTAAAATAAACTCTATACCAACCAACTTCAACATTAAAAACCTGCTCACATGTTAATGCAACAGTAATAATAATATACATCATAGGACATTTCATGCTAAAATGACTAACTTTAAAAGATACCCACTTGATTTCACCAAGATTGAATGTTGAAGCCACATATTAGTGTTGTGGAAATTTCTCTGCTGCTGGTGAAGAATGAAATAGAGAACTTCTGCCAGCCGACACAGTTTTATTTTCTTTGATGAAAATGATGAAGAAAGACCCCGGACATGGGGAGATCTAAACATTTGTACCTGAGGACCACCTCTTTCACACCCCTTTGTCTGCTGTAGGGGTCTGGCCCTCCAGGAAGTGCTTTCCCACCCCTCTGCCCACTGCAGGCATCGGGGCTGACCCCCTGCTGGTGTGTTACATATGAGGTGTCCTGCAGGATCTTGCATTCAGGTGCAAAGCCAAGTCCAGACATCACAATCTACAAAACACAAAAGGACCTGGCATCTTGTGTTAGGAAGGGGGAGGTTGGGCATCTGCAGTGGCTGAAACAAAGAAACTGAATCTACCATTACATTAGCTTCAAGTTTTAAATACATTTTCATACAGAACAAGGAATGTGGAGTAGTAGAACAATATCTTTTAATGGCCAGTATGAACTGGAGGAATTACTACATCAATAAAAGCCAGTTTATAAGAAGAGGAAAAAGAAGACTATTGTTTTAAGAGTAAATGTATATTGCATGAGTCCTCTGAAATAATGAGGTGATGCCTGCTTACATCAATAGTCATGAGTATTCATATTGATCCTAGTACTGGTATGCAAAAGAAGACTCGCTATTAGTAATATTTGGTGATTTGGGGACCAATCCATTCATCCATAGTGCACACTCACTGATAATGGGCTTTTTAGTGAAGTAAGAGACACATCTTGTCCATTAGTCCAAGAAAAAGAAAAGTATTTTCTCCTTGATTTGAAATAAGGGAAAGGGAGTTCTTTTCTACTTTTAAGATTTTTAAACTAGGTTATCAAACTATTAAGTATCACAATATATCTTAAAACACATCTGAAGGGGGTATTTAAATTCTATGTAATCTTCTTGTCTCAGCAAACTACTTTTGATTATTTTGGCGCTGGAGGCTGTAACTGTGACAGAGATCGATGAGGGAGGAGAGAAGAGGAGAGGGGAGGGGCGCCAGGGGAGGGGAGGGGAGGCGAGGGCAGGGCCGGATGGACTGGAAGTGTGCCTCAAGCATTTATAAACATGGCCCCTTTGCACACCTAAGGGTCATTGTTTACATCCATTCATACATGCCACTTCTGCCTGTATGTTTCTGGACCTTGACAGCGAGACAGAGCCTTAGAAGACTGAGAAATAAACATCTTACCACTGTCCTTTCTTCCATTTCTGCTTGCCAGCGCTCACCTTGAAGCTTCAGCACCTGTTCTTCAGAGAGCATCACATCAGACGCGGAAACCTTAAGGATTTCAGTTGAACAATTCCTGTTTAGATCTTCCAAAACCAGCTGCCACCATTTCACCTCCAACAGCCATGTACAGCTCCAACTACTCCAGGGCCAAGTTTGGCCTGGAGGCAAGGGAGCCCCTGCACAGGGCCAAGGGGAAGAGCTGTGGCTACTACATGAGGATCGTCTTCTTCTTTTCCTCCCTGATCCAGTCTCTTATTATCGTCAGCCTGGTGCTCTTCCTCATCTATGGAAAGCCAGAGAAGTCTGCAGAGGAGAAGAGGGTCAAGGTCAGTGTGCTCTTCCAGTGTAATAACCTTCATTTATTATGACACATACTAAAGACCCCCCTTCAGACATGTTTTAAAACATGTAAAAATACTTGGCTATATTAATTTGTGTCTGATATAGTTTCTCCACAAAAAAATGCTAAAAAATAACATCTAGGCCTACTTTGAAGTACAAGACATAAGCTAAACACATTTTTAGTTGAAGGGGACAAAAATGAAAGTATCAATCATCACCAGCCTGTTTTGTTTCTGACAGAACATATTATAACTACGATTAGCACATTACTATTATCTTTTAAATTTCACAGCATTATGTTAACAAGTCCAGAGCTGTGAAATACAGAGATGATGATGCTGAGTGATATGTTATTTTAAAGGAGCTGGAGCTGGGCTTCAACAGGCTGAGTGAGAACAACATCCAGCTGAGGAAGGAGAAAGGCGATTTGGGAGCTCAGCTGGGAGCTCGCACAGCTGAGAAAGATGCTCTAGAGAAAGAGATGGCGAAGCTGAAGACTGAAGCCAACAACACACAAAATGAGCTGAAAATGAAACTGGTTAGTAGTAATTTTAGGCAGCTGTTAAGTATTTTTTAATCATCTTTGAAAAATTCTCATTACAGAAAGACCAATTTAAGATTAGAAGAAATGTTTTTACAATGTGCACCTTCTACAAGATGATCATTTCCTTAAGCATTGTTATAATTTTCCTATTTCAGTGGGGGAGAAAGTATTCAGATACTTTACTGAAGTAAAAGTTTTTAAATATACTCCATTACAAGTGTCTACATAATATTGATTATGTATATATTTATATATAACACTCTCATTGGAGAAGCTGAAACCATGGCATTGGCATTTATTACATAAAAAACTGAATTAGTTGAATAATTATACATTGTTACACTCACTCACCACCACTATTGGTCACCATGGTAATACAATAGAACCCACAGATCATTTTAAATTTTTAATCATCCTGTTAATATCTATGTTGTTGTTTTTCTTTTCATTTATAGGCTATCTGTGGGAGGATGTCTGCAACAACACTTAGTACACGGCGTCCCACCCCTCCGATCCAGGCACCCTTTTTGGTCACTACCAGCAGTATGTACTATATTGAGGTTTTGTTTAAACATTGGGGGAAAAAAATAATATTTTTCTGCATCATCAAATTACTACAGAAGAGGATTAGGGCCAAATGTGAACATTTTATTTTTTATTCTGAGTTTAAAGTAAAAAAAAAAGAGTTAGGATTCTGATAATAAAGTCATAATTATAACTCTGCTAATAACCCTTTATACATGGTTTATAATTTAATAAATTATAGGACAGTAATAAAATATCTCTAGTTGTGATTTCGTTAATGGTTTACTTGATAGTTTATTACCCTTTATTAATGACTTACTAACATTTATTATATTAAATTTGGTAGCTTATTAGAGAGAGAAACTTATCAGTCTTCTTAAGGTCTAATAACTGATCTACAAAGCAGTATATTATAAAGTGGAACCAGAATACTAATAAATACACTGTTAATGAAAGTGTCTATTGAAGTTTTTCCTGTGATGAAACTGTTTTTCACTGAACTCTCCAGGTGAATTAAAGACTTTGCAGAGCCTCAACGCCCAGCAGAAAGCCATGATAAATCTTATTCAGGCAAACTTCACCCAGACAGTTCTGTACATGAGCCAGGAGAGAGACAACGCCATCAAAGACAGAGACACACACCACCAGGATGCCATCACCCTGCGCAGGGAGAACACCATGCTGAAAGAGCAGTTCACCTCCTACACCAGGTACCTATCTGTTTGTAACATCTGTGTAACGGAAAATATTAAGATTAAACACATTAAAGTTATTGTGTTCAATTTATTTATATTTTACCAGGAAGTGCAAAGAGGACTTTGCTCATTCTTTGGACGGGATCAAAACTGTGACCAGGGATTTCCTGAACAGGATCAACAACCTGTTTCCCCACCAGCTGACCTTCCACCTTACCTGTGACAGCCAGCAGGAGCAAATGGAGAAGATAAGAAAC